CCTGTATGGTGTAATTGTACTATGTCCGTAATTATCTGTTTCTATACTATTGTTTGTAGAATAGAGCATCTCTGTTTATTTTTACACGTGTTCGTAGTAACGTTCCATGCATAACATTTGTGGAAAATATGTAAATCTAAAATTATGGTTCTTTATTAGCATTTTTATTCATAAATTACATGCTTTATACATTTTACATATTTTTAATATGCCTGCTATTGAATAAAAATTATAAATTCGCATTATCTAGGAAGTATAAGCTTTATAGCGAGTAAAAGTATATATATATATATATACATATATATATGATAAAATAAAATTAAATATGCTCGTGTGATTAAGACTGAGTCAAGTAAGTTACCACAGTGTGTGTAAAGTAATAAGACAGTAATTATTAACTATTTACATAATATCGCTTTTTTATTATTTGTAGGGTACACGTAAAAATGTAGGTAGAAGCTGACAGTTGACACGTTCTTAACTTCGAGTATTTGCGGTACCTACATAAAGTCTGATTATTAATTCTACGGAATTCTGACATTTCAAAGTGTTGTCAACTTTGAAACATTGTCACTACAAATGGAAAACATTTTAGCAAAATAAAAAAATAAACTTTTCTTGAATTCAAGGTTTCAATTAGAAAAACTAAGACTTAAAAAAATATTGATAACTCTAAAATGGTATTTTTTTTATTATCATATTATTGAAGGTACAATAATTAGTAAGGAAATTATTTTTCTATTACAGGAATCCCTGTCCAATAATCCATAGGTTGCAAGCCTTTTTTAGGAAAAACCCCTTTGTTTGTAAAATATTTTGTTTTACTGTGTTTTATTCATTTAACCATTCAAAATTTACATTATAGTTAGCGTGCATTAAATGCACAAAACAAAGACTATTTACAATATCATACATATAGTTTAATTGATATAATTTAGTTTCATATTTTTTGTTATGTTAAAATAATTTAAAGCAGAAAAGGTTTATGATATCTGGATTGTCAAAGAATGACAGCTGTCATTTTTCCGTAGAATTAAAAATCAGACTTTAATAACTTTCATAAATTAATTTATAGAAAATTATAAAACGTTATTAACAATAACTAAAGGTATTGTTATTAGATTATATGCTTTGTTTTTTTATTATTTATTATTGTAGATATGATGCGTATTATAGATTCTTAAGAAACACAACACTCACATGTATTTATTAATTAATATTACATAGAAAACGTGATGGATTAGTCAAGATCGTAATAATAATTTACTAGAGTCATTTTAGAATGTTATTATTTCTTAACTATTTGTTTGTAATTTGTAGTTTGTGTAGAAGTTTGTGAAAGCGCTAAAGCCAAAGTTTGTTAATATTTTCTTCAAGCTTTCTCAAAGAGTTTAAAATTAAGAATTCATTTTTTTAATTTAAAATATGTTGAATTCTCATTTATCAGTAAAAGTTTAGGTTTTCTAAGGTTTTCGTGAATAAAGTAATATGTATAAGGCAAAATAAAACTAATTTATAAGAAGCAATTATCTCAGTACGTATAAATATTAATTAATTATTTTTTGTTCCTATAAAATTTCACTGTTATGGAATATAAATTTACATTTATAGATCATATACATTCTTAGAAATCTTAAATAATGTTAAAATTTAAAATGACAATAAATGTCACTTAAAAATAATTACGAGGAATGTTTCGCGATACTATGATCGCAAGCGCAGCCTCTGACCGTTACAGGGACACACTGACCTCGATACGCATGTGCCAAAAAGCCCACCTTGACAAACGCCTTTATTATCCTCGAACTTTCGTGCTAATAGGAATTACTTATTACGGTTCTCTGCAATTACGTACGGGTTCGTTGATTTTTGTATATTCTGTTCTTATTTATCAATACATAACTTTCTTATTTAGCAAATAATATTTTTGTGACATATTTAGGCATTGATTAATTTTTAGTCAAACTAGGATCGAATCTTCCAGCTAGGTATTATGAATTGGTAAACTAATAAGAGAACCATACATTTTTGCAAAATGTTTGTATTAACTGTTGTTACACACCTTCGATGACTGCTATCAAACTATAATGAAGAATAAATTTATTTAAAAAAAAGTCATATTTATTAAATACATTTCTTTTTTATTTCATTTTTACATTTGATAACTAGATATATGAATATCGATTTCTTCATATTTAGAGTTCAAAAATACTAAAAAAATATTACACGATCATTACAAAGGATATAAACACAAAATGTACTGTTACAACACAAAAGCTTGTCACTTGTTAGACAGTTATTTCAATGCAGACTGCATGAATGATAAACAATGCATGTGTCAACGCCCCTTCTAGCGGCCAAAGTACTCGACGCACCAAAAATGTGAACCATGGCTGGCGTACCACTTACTCACTGAAAGTTTACATAAAACTTAATTGAGATTATAATTTCTTTGTTTCTCTGTTTATCTTGATATATTTGCTTGTAAAATATTTAAATAGCATATGAAATTATTATTTAAAAAAAGTTATGTTTGATCTCTTTTATTAAGGTATTAATGTAAAAATTATGTTATGTAAATAAAATTTTGCTGTAACCAAATAGACATAATAATGTTTATAAAACCTCAATATAATTTATAAAGTTAAAAAAATACCAGAGTTTTGAGTCTGTAAAAGTTATTCCCCGAAGACGGCATGGATAAGACAAAGAAGTGCTTTGATGCCAGACTGAATGCTCTATTGACATGCATCGCACGCGCAACCAAGGACGGCTGCGTCTTGAACTTCCATCCCAACATAAGAGAGTGCGGTTAACGATCGGTAAATGATGCCTTTGGTTATGACTGTTAAGATTTGTTGCTTATAATATAAATAAATATATCTTTATAGAGTGAGAGCAAAATTTTAGAAAAACAATTAACATAATAGTAGATATTGCTTGGATCGTTAGCATTAATAAATTCTGGTAAGTTATCTTAAAATTTGTTGAACGAATGACATAATGTTAGCATACTTTGTATGATGCTTATTGTTTGAGGCAAGATAATCGAATTGAAGAACGGCACACTTTTTTCGTTATCGTTTGTGTTATCCTTATCAAAAGCGTCTACAATAAACAATGGTGGGCACCTAACCTTGCGCTTGTGTACGATAATATGTGAAGAGATAATAAGTACAAGTTAATTATTAGATATCCACGAATTAATGATTTTCTTTTACGAAATAAGTGCCCTACAATAATCTTGCTACACTATCGTGACGGCGTTGTAGTGCATGGGCAAGCGAATAGTATCATATACAGGGTTATTTTTAATTTACTGAAAACCTTTTGGGAATATAGTATTTACATCATAACAACAACATCTGTAAGAAAAAAAAATTCTTAAATTTTACAAAAATAAAAATATTTTTATTGCACCTTCTAAATTGTAATAGTCCAGCATTAGCAAAAGAAAACGCATCCTCGGTGGAATGGGAGGGGTGGAGGGGTGTAAGAAGCCGCGCTTACTCATTTAAACTTATCAGATGCTAGGACTATTACCATTTATAAGGTGCAATAATTTTTTTTTATTTTTGTATGAAAATAAAAATTTAAGGTTTTTTATTCTTACAGATTTTGTTGTTATGATGTAAATAGTATATCCCCAAAAGGTTTTCAGTAAATTAAAAATGACCTTGTATATCAATAACATGATATGGATAAAGTTCCGATGTGGATCGAAGTGTGAGAGAAGATGGGTTCCCCAGCGTCATCGAAACAGGCTAGTTGCTATGTTTAAAAAAATGCTCAATAAAATTCTCAAAATGAGTTAAACCTAAAGTAGCAATAAAATAAATCAATCATTATTGCAAATAAATATAAGTAATAAATGTTATTTGAGCTCTTGATAACGACAAATGACGTTTAGTAGGTTAATCTGTAAGTATCTGTGTGGTAATCTCGTAGCGTGATGCTTAATCTTGTCATTCTATTGTTCCTGCTGTCGGAACATTCTTTGTCCTAATCAATAACTACTTTATTTTCCATTCGTGAGTAGTGAATGGGTTCTTTAATATATATTTTATTCTATAGTTGAAAAGCATTCTACTTTAAAAGTTTTTTTAGTGCATAGTTTATGAACTAAGTTATTTTTATCAGTTGGAGGTATAACTATAAAATCCTTGTATTTAACACAGTTAATCCTGTCTTTTAATGACATAATTTAAGATGTAACCGGTCAATCTCCAATGTGACTCCTACATTCAATGTGACATTGGCAAATAATTAGGTAGTGCTCAACTAGCGTACATTGTAGCCGGTAAATAAATTATTGAATTGAATTGAAATAAGTTAGTTAAATTTGAACTAAAATTGCATTGAAATAAAATTGTTATATTAATAAATATTAAAACTGAGATGCAATAGCTATGTCAGTTGTTTTTAAATGCTTATAAGAACACATGTTGATGACACAATATATAAGGAAATCATATGTTCCAAATTATAGGAACACGCGTTAGTACGGTCATTCGTTAACGTTACTCACGTGGCAGTGTTATTCATCGCTGATGTTCTTTCTATGTGGTTAAATAGAACGGTTCCATAATAAAAGGAAATTCCACCATGAACACATAACATACTTGCATTCTTATTTAAAATATATTATGTTTTTCATATTAGCATATACTAGCGGCTCTTCCTCTCTTTGTTTGGGTTCATTATTATTATTATTATTCCCCATAGAAACTTTCATACCCATTTTCACCCCCTTAAGGGATGATTTTTGGAATAAAAAGTACCCGATGTCCTTCCCATGGTCACAAACTATCTTCTTACCAAATTTCATCTAAATCGGTTCAGTAGATCCAGAGATTACTATAAACTAACAAACAGCTAGCCTTATCGATATGCATAAGCTAATAGTTCGTTCGATTGCACCATTACTAATAACCATCATCATGACAAAGGTCCATATCCAGTCTTGGATGCGGCAGTCTAATTATGATATGAACTTCCAGATGTACCTAGCACAGTATGGTTACCTCAGCCCGTCAGTAAGGAATCCGTCCAGTGGTCACATTATGGATGAAGGCTCGTGGAGGCGAGCCATTTCTGAGTTCCAAAGCTTCGCTGGACTTAATAATACTGGTATGTAAATTTTAATATTTCGATATTATAGTTAAAATTCTTTTAATTTTTTTCTGTAAGATAACATTTAAGTTAGAAGTATTCTCGCCACGGATCGTTAAATATTTTTGATGTCCACCTGTCCGATTTAGGCCACAGCGGCCAATCTGACTGAGATTAGCCAAGTGCGCAGGAGATATTATAATAAACAAGGATACGCGCAGACACCAGCGCACTATTTAGCTCAATTACTGTCAAATTCCGATGATGAAAGTTGAGGCGCAGGACCGACAGCTTTACGTGTTCTCCGAGGTACGGGGGCGATACACCGCCAACTTCCCAACTCTGGACTGTTACTGGGACTTTCATATCAGAATGACTCAATAACTAAACTTGGCCTGAATCGGAATCGAATCCAGGACCTTCAGATGTACAGACGTACACCATCGAGGCAGTCTAAGATTTATATAATACTAATACCGTTTATTATTAATAACTTTTTTAGATATTTCAATTATTCTAAAATTTTCATACGTACGTAGAAAAATTACATAAACTTAATTTTGTACGTTACATTATAAAAAGGGGAAAATATCTGAGTTTCCTAATCAAGAAGATCAAAAATTTCTAAGTTTAATATCATAGTTTGATGTACTCGTAACGTACTGAAATCATGATGAATAAGGACATTAACAGATAATAGAGGAAAATGCATGATTCGTATGCGTGACAGTGCATTTGATGAATTGCGGGGTTGACGTAATTGACGTAATGGTAACCCATATTCGAATGCCATGACCTTGCCGCCTTACTGAATCTCGACGTTATATTAGAATCACAAGACGCTCATTTGAATCGAGCTTGTCAAAAATGTTCACACTTTACTTGAGATCTTGTTCTGAATAAAATTTAAACGTACTGAACTTAAATAATATATACAAATTAAGCATTTAACATTTATATGTATGTCATAGTAACAGCCATAACACGAAGTCGTTTAATTCGCGCTGTCACGAGTAACCAACGACATTGGTAATGCAATTACGGTCTGCAAAATCACTGCTGGCAGCCAACTATTCGAATACCATACCATTACGTGGGTTGAACTTGAATCTTCATTACAATGTACGTGCTTTGACACTAAAAGTAGTATATTGGTCTCCGTACACGGGGCAGTTATTATGTAAGCAAATAGCGATATATGCACATAAATTATTCATTTAGGATCATTGTGCTAGTTCCTAAACAGCGCCAGCTTGATATTCGCGGTATTCATTGTTAAACATAATTATTAGCATAAATATAAAACTTTACTAGGCCTATTTTATAAGGACGCTTTAAGAATCATTAAAATAGTTGAATTATAAAGTAATACACTGCGTAATATATGTTTGAAGGAATATTTGTTGGTATAGACAGTAATCGGTACGTTAATAGATAGATACTCGTAATATGTAGGCACATTTAAAAAAATATGTGGAACATTAACAGTCTGCGCCGTCTAGTTCCATGGTAAGCTACGAGGCTTGTGTTATGGATACCAGATAGTCGATACACTACATATATATAACTTTAAATACATACATATTATAAATATAAACACCCATGACTGGAGTACAAACATACGTGCTCATCACACAAATGAATGCCCCCAGCGGGACTCGAACCCGCGACCGCTGGCACAGCAATTAGGGTCACTACAAACTGAGCCAATCATGTCGTCAATGTTTACAATTTGAATTAAAGAATTTATTAAAATAATATGGTAAGGTAGATCTAACATCTATGATTTACAATGAACGTAGACACAAACCTAAATAAAGTTGTGAATTGTTTACTTAAAAATCCATCCAGTTATACTATAACGTCTTAAAGGATCCTAACGCCATAGAACATATTCAGCGAAATAATATTTGCTATGGTTACAATTAAACCATAATTTGTGGTAGGTACTGGATATTTCAATCGAGCATTAGAAAGTAGGAATCGGAATCAAAATACAAAATATGCAAGTCATTATTTAATTAGTATATAAACAATAACGTTTGGAAATACAAACGTTATTCAACAAAGTATTTAATACGTGAACATTTTACTTAATTCGCGCCAATATTCCGTATTGCATTAGCCATGCAAACTGTGTAATTCGGGCTGTCATAGAAATAAATTCAGACTCCGCGTTTAATTTTGTTCCTGAAAGACAATGATCTCTGCTTCTTCAATATTTATTGTATACTAGCATTGCCCGCGGCTCCGCGCGCGTTCTGATGACCAAAAACCAAATTCTTAGGTTTTACATATTAGAATACTCTTACAATGCAGTTTTTGTATTTTTTCTCAGAAATGAGATATTTTCCCGCGGTAAAAAGTATCTTATATGTTGACCCGGATAACCAGCTCTCATTATACCAAACTTCATCAAAATCTGTCCAGTGGTTTTCTCGTGATGCGGTAACAGACAGACAGACAGACATAAATTCTAAAAACTATAGATTCGGACTCTGTGTCGATAATAATGTCTATTTCAATTAGATTTTCCAAAAAATATTTAATGTACAGATTCGACTTAGTTACAAAATTATTATATGTATAGATTGAACATCATTCTGAAAACCTAATTCTTCTTTTAAACTAATTATGACATTATAAAGAGATAAAATGTATGAGCATTGAACATGGAAACTACAGATCCTTTTACAAGTAGGAATCTACGTTATCCCTATGTGATATTAGCAATTTTATTCTAATTTATCAAAGCGGGGTCTCAACGGGGTAGAGTAAATACTCTATAAACGGAAATGTAAATATATTCAATAAAAATTTCGTAGTAATATGTGAATGGAGAAAGCTTCGAGCAAGAATAAATTAACAGTTCTTATATCTGTATTTTTTTTTTGTTAAATCTGTACTCATTTATTTGTTAAACAGGTGAACTCGATGAAGAAACAGTTCAGCTAATGTCACTGCCGAGATGTGGAGTAAAAGACAAAGTAGGGTTCGGCGAAAGTCGTGCGAAAAGATACGCTCTGCAAGGTGAGTGCTGGAAATGGTTAATTATGAAATATATTAACGTTTTCATACTATAAGATTTTTCATACCCTATAAGTATTTTTATTGCGTACTCTTAATAACACAAGACACTCATAATTCATTCACGGAAAACAATATGAGGAAATCCAGTTTTCTTAGAAGCTATAATAATTAGATCTATGTTCACATGCGAACGGGTAAAGATCGATTCTTATGGCAGACCAGTTAAATATTACATATTAAACATATACACACAGATACACATGTATCTATGTAAGGTAAAATATTATATATATGGAAAAGAAAAACGTTATTATTATATTGTAAATTTTAGATGGTCTTGTTTATAAGTAATATAAATATTATAAACTATTAACATATATTTTTGTAAAATCAGGCTCAAGATGGCGAGTAAAGAATCTTACATACAAGATTTCCAAGTACCCGTCCCGCTTGAACCGCGCTGAAGTGGACACTGAACTCGCTAAGGCCTTCTCTGTTTGGTCCGATTACACCGACCTCACCTTCACACAGAAGCGATCTGGACAAGTCCATATTGAAATCAGGTACCATAATCTATACATATAATAAAATTGTAACTAAGTCGAATCTGTACATTAAATATGTTTTGGAAAATCTTATTGAAATAGACATTATTATCGATACAGAGTCCGAATCCATAGTTTTTAGAATTTTTGCCTGTCTGTCTGTCTGTTACCGCATCACGATAAAACCACTGGACAGATTTTGATGAAATTTGGTATGATAGCTGGTTATCCGGGTCAACATATAGGATACTTTTTACCGCGGGAAAATATCTCATATCTGAGAAAAAAATACAAAACATTGTAAAAGTATACTAATATGTAAAACCTAAGAATTGAGTTTTTGGTCATTTGAACGCGGGCGGAGCCACGGGCAATGCTAGTCTAAGAGATAAAGAAAGAAAACTATAGGGATAAAGCAACGCAAAGTTTTTAAGATATTAATCAAAAATACCCAATGAGACTTTTACATAATGAAAGTTTTATTAATATAACTTAAAACTGATAAAATTTGGATGTACAAATTATTTTTATTTACTATATTTGACAATAAAACTGATTGAATAAAAAAGTACCTATTACCAATATTTAAAAAATTTAGCTGTAAATTAAACTAACTTTAATAAATTAATGTTTAAGTCATTGAGATCAAAATTTATAAATCGTTTGTGAGTGACAGATTGGCGTGATTGTTGGTGTGGAGATAGTTGAAGAGCTGGAGAATGACATAGGCTACTTTTTATCGCGTGAGATTATCTCATTCTCTCGGGAAAACACGTTGTAATACAACCCATAAAAATATATTACAGAATTACTTGAAACTTGGTATTAATGCTCTTCAATATAATTAAGTAGATACGTGTTTTAGCATTTTTCGAAATTCATCCCATAAGAGGGTAAAATAGAGGATGAAACTTTGTACGAAACCTACCTTTTTAGAGTTTTTTTATAGTTTTAGCGCAAGCGAAGCCGCGGGTTCCGCTAGTTGATATATAAATTAAATGTTACCAAACTTTACACAACTTTGATATTTATGTTACAAACACTTGTAACATTACAAGCAGGCAACAATGGGGTCCATTATAATTTAAATGTCGAATCCAGTTGAATCTAATGGATTTCGTCACAATGGTAATCCTCGTTGTGTAACCGACGTTGTCATTGACTGCTACACAAGTGATCTGTTGTACACTAGATGATTAATTTGGAATAGGTTTTCTGTCATATTCGGACAGTTCTAGGTAACTTACTCAAAATTATGAAAAGAATTTTATATTGAATTGTTTTATTACTTACTTTGTTTCGTTTAATGTTATATTATATATCCGAATTAAATTAATATTATATAACTATGAAGAAGTAAAGTAAAATGTATTTAACACTAATTCAGTAGGTACGTAGGTACATATATCAATTAGTATATAAATTAATATATTTTTTATTTAATATAATAGGTTCGAAAAAGGAGAGCACGGTGACGGTGATCCTTTCGACGGCCCCGGAGGAACTCTAGCCCACGCATATTTCCCAGTAAGTTAATACAAACAATTTATTTCTAAAAAAATATTAAATACTTAATTTTTACATGCAGTTTTTATGTAATTCAAAATTACAAATTCAACCTTTTTTCTAGCCATAATAAGATATTTTTTTATCTATGAACACCTGTAAACTGAAATAGTTTTATACATTTTTAATTTATATTAAGCATATTATTAAATCACTCTATGTTATACCAAACTTTACCTTTAAATATAAAGCTAAATTAAATTAAAAATTTAAAGAACCCTGGACCAACTAGGGCCGATTTTCATCAAACATAGCTAAGAACACTCCCGGCTAATTCACCTTTCAAACAAAAAAAAAACAAAATCAAAATCGGTTCATCCCTTCGGGAGCTACGATGCCACAGACAGAGACACACAGACATGTCAAACTTATAACACCTCGTCATTTTTGCGTCGGTGGTTAAAATATTGCTTTGATGGTGTTTGTACTCTATCAACTCTACAAGGGAAACATAAAAAGCTATATGTATAAAGTATATATCCGAGTTGACCATAACAGTGTAACATTGAGATGACTTATGTCCTAGCTATTAACGTCACGTACTTTGAACCTATATCGACGATAATAATGATAATTAACACAAGCAGTTGGTCAAATGGAATAAATTATTCATTTCCATGGCACCACAATACAAACATTACAGAGCAGAGCGTGAAGACAATTTGATGCATAATAGATGATTTATGTAAATCGGATGTAACATATTTAAACAGGGAAAGTCATTTTTTAAATAAAACCATATAATTAATAAATAAATATGTTGGGACATTCATACACAGCACCATCTAGTTCCATGGTAAGCTACGAGGCTTGTGTTATGGATACCAGATAGTTGATACACTACATATATAACTTTAATCGTCATTATATCGTCAGATATCAGATCCATATATAATGCAAATAATTATAAAACGTTTTATGAAACTTTAATTCAAAAGTTTTTAAGTATATTTTATATTTTTCGGTTAAAGATTATTATAAATCAAAGTATTTAATTTATTAATAGGAATTTTAATATAAACTCATTCTTGTTCTTACTGTGAGTGATTTTGTGGCCCTAGTGGTTGTTTCCGGAACCAACCAGTAATTTACAGTACTTAATACATAACAGTAATAGTAGCAAATCTTATTACCATAACTTCTGGGAATACTTAAATATAAACATTGTATTTGGGCTAAATAGTGATTTTATTGGTCTAAATTAGACGTGCGACTGAAAGTCTACTCACTCGAGATCAAGTTTTTTTATTGGTTAGTTTATTAATTTAAAATTTTATAACTGATGATGTTCTCCTAGCCGATTCCGGCTACGGCGGCCAATCTCATTGAGACTAGCCAACTGCGCAGGAGATATTATAGTGCACAAGTGTACGCGCAGACGCAAGTGCACTCTCTCTTCCTGTCGACGTGAGCATCGACGACTGCTCGACACGACCAGTGAGAGTTAAGGCGCAGGACCGACGGCTTTACGTGCTCCCCGAGGCACGGGGGTGAAACACAGCCAACTTCCCAACTCCGGGTTGTTACTTAGACTTACTATACAGAAAAACTCAGTAATTAAACTTGGCCCGACCCGGGACTCGAATCCAGGATCTCCGAGTGTGCAGCCGTACATGCTAGCCACTACACCACCGAGGCAGTTAAATTTTTTTATATTAGTATTACGATAACAGAACAATGTAACCACACGATAAAATATATGATCACGTTAATTTATATAGCATTTCATTTATCGTAAGTAAACTATTATGGAAGTAACAAAAATAAAGTATTCTAGTTGCATGACTAAGATTGTATGAGTCATTTTACAACCGGAAATATAAAATTAAATCAGTTATTCGATACCCGGATTTTATATTATCATCATTTAGTGTAAAGTTATCATTTTTCAGGATGAAGTGTATATATATTTTTCAATTTTTTTCTTCTTTGCCTAACTTTATTTCTTTTCAATCCGAGTTGGTTTTCTATTCATTTTTTTTCCAGAAAGTTCAATTTTGGGTTATCAGCGTTGTTAATTAGACATTCGTAAGCCTTACGGTCTTTGTTTAAGGCTACACAAATTTTAAAATATAAAATGTATATTTTGTAATGTTAATCTATTTTATTTTAAAAGGTTTACGGAGGCGATGCTCACTTCGACGACGCAGAAGTATGGTCCATTAACTCAAGACGAGGGACAAATCTCTTCCAAGTAAGTCAAGTATTATATTACTTGTAATTACAAAACATTCTAACTGTTAACTAAATATGTTATTCTTAATTAAATTTTATTATTATTAAAAAAATATCTTTACTGTTTTATCTTCCTTTACTCAGTCCACCTCTCAGTAGCAAACGACATCGTTTAACTTTTTTTTTTAAATAATTTATGTTTTTTATCCTGGTTGCTTAGTTCCTTGTAAAATTTCTCTACAAGAAAGAACCTGAAACACATAGTGCAGGGATACTAATTTATTATAATAATTATTACTAACAGGTAGCAGCGCACGAATTCGGACATTCACTCGGATTATCACACAGTGACGTACGATCAGCTTTAATGGCACCATTCTACCGTGGATACGATCCAGCCTTCCAACTTGACCAAGATGATATTCAAGGAATACAGGTAAAGTACCTAAGCATTACTCTTTACTAATATAATATATAGGTATGTTTGTTGGCTTATACCGGTAAGTAAATATTTTATTTTGTAAAGTATTTGCCCTATTAAAATTAATGTTACATAAGCGAAATTTAAAAATGAAAATCTCAATGGGTATATTAAGCTTTTGTAGAGATACTATCCATTTCCTCCAACATCGGATCAGCTCGATTATATAATAATTATCTTTTGTCATCCAGATTTCATTTACGACAATTATAAGTCAGTTAAGATTCGATTATCTAGCTAATAAAAGCATGTTTAAAAATAGAAAACAATCTTATGATTGTTTATAATATTTTCAGGCATTATATGGACACAAAACTCAAATCGACATCGGCGCGCCCAACCCTACGCTGCCGCGCATCACCACGCCACAGCCTTCCGCCGAAGACCCCGCACTGTGCTCGGATCCGAACATTGACACAATATTCAATTCCGCTGATGGAGCTACTTTTGTATTTAAAGGTCAGTTGAATTATTTAATTGATCCCGTGAGTCCCTACATGCCTAACAGTAGAACTTGTGTTGTTCTGTAAATTTCATTCAAATCCGTCCAGCCATTTTGGAGTGATGGACTATAAACACAAACAAACAAACTTTCCCATATTATGACACAGTCGACGGCTGTCGTAAATTAATTGTTTTAGGAAGGATTTATTTACATTTTACGATTGTTATGATAAAGGTGATCACTACTGGCGTTTAACTGAGAACGGAGTAGCTGCAGGCTACCCACGCCTCATATCGCGCGCGTGGCCCGAGCTGCCCGGCAACATCGACGCCGCCTTCACATACAAAAATGGCAAGACTTACTTCTTCAAAGGATCCAAGTACTGGAGATATAACGGACAAAAGATGGACGGAGATTATCCTAAAGATATCAGTGAAGGTAATGAGTATTCTTGATTATTTAAAAAAAAATTAAATTTAATATTTTCTTTTGCTTGCAACTGATGTGTCATATATTTTAACATGCTTTTTATAGCTTATACCATACATTTTCATTTAAGCGTATCCAAAAGAAGGATTTTTTTTATAAATTATTAATTACTCAACCGTACTGAGTCTAGATTTGGTGAATAAGAGTAATCCATCTCAAAATTATACGTTTTTTCGTTTTGACTAAGTTTAATCCATTTTATAAGCTATCCTTATCCTCAATTCTGTTTAGACGTTACAGCGTGAAAAAGTAACAGACTCATTAAATTTTGCTTTATAATACTAGTTTTACTATACCTCTTTTAGGTTTCACCGGCATCCCCGACAATATCGACGCGGCCTTAGTCTGGTCTGGTAACGGCAAGATCTACTTCTACAAAGGCTCAAAGTTTTGGCGGTTCGACCCAGCGCAGCGCCCACCAGTCAAGGCTACTTACCCCAAGCCCCTCTCCAACTGGGAAGGCATTCCTGACAATATAAATGCTGCTTTACAATATACGAATGGATATACTTACTTCTTTAAAGGAGGATCTTATTGGCGGTTTAATGATCGGACCTTTAGTGTGAGTGTACTAAACTTGAAGTGTTGTACTCTGCGTATGGTCATTTTTAAAGTTGTATGGGAATTTTCTGTGTATAGAACAATTAAGTCCGCGTGACTCTTCAATCGCGTATCCTTAGAGAACGGCGGCATATTTTATTGTGCATTTTTTTTTTCGTAGTTTAGAAAAATCTATTTAACGGTAAATTCAATCTGCCCGTGAAATCGTAGTTGACCCCGTACAGTTCACCTAACCTCAGCTATAGAAGTAAAAGTTTTCTGTATGAAACAAGCAAATAACATGATTATGATTATTTAAAAAAAATATGTACATATAGCCTTCATAACGTAACTTTAGTGCCTTATCGTAGTGAAATATTGATATCTAATTATGCTGAAGTAGGAAATAATTACAATTTGTTTTGATTAGCTTTGAAGGCCAAATTGAATTTAAGTAAACTGTTTAATCGATACATACATGAACAATTACAATAACATAATATCTTATTAAGATTTCTTTCTTGTACACAAAGAGCAGTTTGCTATTTTTAATATTTAGTATAGTAATACTTTTTTTGACTTACATCAAAAAATATAGAAACATGTTATAACAAGTCCTTATTCATTAGGCTCCATATACTTAAAATGTAAGGATTTGGTGGGACATCAATTTCTCTCATGGCTCAGGTTATTTCTTTATATAATATAATATAAATATATAAGGGAATTTTTAATCTCCAGGTGGACACAGATAACCCAGCGTTCCCGCGCTCCACTGCATATTGGTGGCTTGGTTGCAGCAGCGCGCCACGAGGCACTGTCGGAGGTAACGCGCGGCTTTCCGACGCGCCTCACAGTGACGAGGACGTTGGCGACATACTCTTTGATGCAGGTAGGTTCGGGCCCCCAGAAACTAGCGAGGGGTCCTTAGTGCCCTTGAATGAAGAGTGGGTAGACTACGATGAAAGGACTGGATGACTGAAGATACTGAGGGTCTCTCAAATCAATAGATTATGACTTGGAAATACTGAGGTACTGGATGACGACCTAGATTTTTGAAGATATTACATTGACATTTGTGACTTATGAAGATGTTAAAGCGTTATTAGTAGCTTCAATGATTATTCGAAAAGATCATAATGCTTGAATCGAGTTGAAGCGATTTTGCTAATTTAGTAAAGGAAGTAGTATTTAATGATGAAAATACATACTTGTAATTAAGTGATAGCAATTGAAGTACTGTTTGACTATATTAAAAACAATGATTTTCTTTATTCTAGCAAATGACTTTTTAGTAATAAGTTGATAAAATAAGATATATAGACAAAATGACTGAAACAGTTTGAGATAATTTACTCAAGTATTGACTTGAACAAGTCGAATAATCGTAATTGGTCTTCGCTATACCTGATCAACAATAACAAAACTTTTACAAACTGAATTTGAAATTACATTACTGGACAGATATTTTTAAAGAAGACTTATCATATATTTGGCGATGAAAATTAAAATTGAATTCAAACATATTTTTAAAGTTAATTTTATATGATATGTACTTATTCTCAATGCAATTATTTATATGAATTATGAATATTTTAAAACTGACAATACTAAATAAAATTAATTAATAATTGACATTCGCGAATATTATGACTTACTTGACATATAATTATAGGTACTGCTAAAGCTACCCTCCAAAAATTAATAATATCAGTAAATAAATTACCGTCTTCCACTGTTTTGCGATGTTGCCCGCTCTATGTATGTTTTGTTTCTTTATTTGTTTCTTTGTATTAGATTAATATATGTTTTTTCTTTATAGTATGTTAAAATACAGTATTAGTTAGTTTTCGAATCTCCTGAGTCTGTGTTTGTGACTGTTAATTTCATTGTGTTAAATTATTTACTATTCATTATACTTTTTTAAATCCTTAATGTTTATGTGGTGTGTATTATCATTTTTCCTTCATATTATCGTTATAACAACATCGTAATAAGAAATTTAATATTTTAACAAATGTTGAGTTAAATTTAATAAATAAAACTAACATTAAAATAAGCTATTCTATACTAATTGAAAATTTCTACTAAAACATGTGACTAACTTGCTTATTTAATTACCTAACAAAATGCTGGCCTTTCGCTGATAATTAAGCTTAAGCTGAACTCAGTGGTTGACGGTGGATGGTCCAAATTGTACGACGGCTTCTGGGCGCCCTGAACCTACGAGTATTGTATTGAAATGATGTGACAAAACGTTTTTTCTTTGCCATACTTCATTTCTATACATTACGACACAACACACAAGATAATAAATAAGCAGATTAATATATATTTTTTTAATATATGTGCGATCACAGCAATTTACTCGCACTTTTCGCACCAAAAAGCTTTATGTATTTCAAAGAAGAATTAATTTAGCAATACTGGATAGGATTTCAACATTATTTACCAACTAATCTATAAAATATTATAGTTTAGATACCACATTTGTTAACACAGTATTAAATTTTAAAATGATTTTTGTTAGCACACTTTTAGTCAAAGTATTATGACGTTAAATTAACACTAAGTGTTAGTTCATGGTGATTGGGATTACCACGTGTGTGTTTGTGTTTTGTCTTTTAGGTGTAAAATCATCCGCTCCCAGATCATTCTTCTGGTTCAGGAAATAGCCTCGGTGGAGAGTTCCTGAACATTTGTACATAGAGAGTAACATAAAGAACAAAGACTAAATTAGTAAAATAGGGGATCATATGAATACCAGTGAGATTATAGACATAAGCGGTGATTTTAGTACCGGCGAGCTTCTCACGCGTTACCTGTACGTTTGATTTTATCACATTCGCATGATAGTGTTATTTTGGTTTTGCTTTTGCGTGGTTTATTGGGGTAGATTAGAGCTTGCATGATGCACGAAGCTTTTCTTATATTTATGCCCATTAAGTACATTCTGAATTTGGTGGTGTGTTGTATGCTTTTCACCAATCGTTTCACTTTACAACTATTTTTGAGCCCTCAGATATTCTTTTTTTCTTCGAGTATATTAAAATGAATTTAAAAGTGAAGCAGTTTGTTTGTAAAGACTAAAGTTATATTGTATTTTTCTATATAATAATAATGTATGATTATAGAATTAATTTAAAAATACTAAGTAATACTAAGTATGAAATACAATATAAATTTGGCCTTAAAACTTAAAATGTTTACCAAATGTGCATACTAAATTTTATGAATGCAGATGTTTGTATTTAGAATGTAATGGGGTTAGATAATTTAGAACAAATGTATTGCATAACTTATAAAAATACATAGCTACAAAGTAAGTTTTAATATTTTAGATGCCATGAAGCGGATATTTCGTGTGTATGTCATAAAATTGTAAAACTTCGACTGCCTCGTATAGAAATAATAACATAGCTCTTGGATCTTGTAAGATATTTGTCACATTGATTTCGCACTTGTCATATCTCGCAAGATAACAATACCTAGTTTTATTTACATAAAACATTTGCACTATCATTAATATTATTAAATGAAAATTATTCCCGGTTATGTCAAAATGTATGTGACTAACGAAACCTATATATTGATTAATCGTATGCATATTTAGTCTAACGTAAAATATAAATGGTAGATTACAAGATTACATAGATTTCAGTAGTTAGAAATGCATGTTGTGAGAACTGTACATACATAGTAGAGTAGTTTGCACCAACGGGTATCGGTGATCATAAACTAAAGATACCTTGCTAAAGGCAAGTTCATGTTTCAGTGATCAACATACAATCAGACGGAGCTAAACTATAGTATTGACTCGGGGCTCCGTTATATTAGGAGGGCACGAAACGTCCTCCGCCGCGACTTCACTCACCCGCATCGTAGGTTACTTTTCATTTGTTTTGCTTTACCGTTTTGACGGTTTTGATTATGCATTTTATCATCGTCACTCCATTTGTGCTGTCTGGCATGTTGCACCAATGAGTAGCGGCTGTCGGGACTGGAGGCTAAGGTGGTGTGTATTGTAGATGCGGGAGAAGCAGCGGGGCGCAGTGGCGCGGGGGGAGCGGGGTGCGCGACGGGCGCGCTCGCGGGCTGCCTGGCGGCTCTCGTGCTGGTGCAGCTACTGGGTGTACGCCTGTAGCGTCTCCACCGCGGTCCGCGTCTCCACTGTGATCGTGTGCTGTGTGCGTGTCGCGTGCTGCGTTCGATATATTGTGTATAGCGAACGCCTAACTGACTGTGATGAATGTGTCTTTTTATACTGATGAGAGAACGATAATTTAATTCGAAGTCATAGTTTTTATACTTAATATAAATAGATGATGTAAGTTCGAGTGTGATATTGACGTAAGCGAACATTTTTGTATTAAAATTATTTAAAGAAACAACAAAGCTTTTCCTTTACGATCCCTGGGAGTTGTGGGGGTAAATGAGAAACGTGATTGTATTTTAATCGGTTTATTTAACGTTTTTCTGTTTCTCCAATAATTCCTCTTAAGTTAGTAATTACAGGTTTATATGACAATATTTTTCGTTTTTATTTCATTTTCATAAACGTATTTTTTTAATAAACATCTCCACAATTCATCATAACACGGTCGTGCGACCTACTGTCTCAATCGTTCTAACTCTTAGGAAAATGCAAATAATATTAAACTTCAAAATCTGTCTACTTTGTAATTATTCGAACAATATTAATCTTAGTTCGAGTGCTGAACGATGTCTACTCGAGCGGTGCGGGTGCGGCCTACGGCCACTTCGCTCGCGCGGCCCCCACGCATCGAGCGAAGCGACAATGCTCCATCCCACAGGCCATAGTGGCGACTTTAATAGTTCTACTTACTTATGAATAAATTAAGAAAATTGACTTTTTTTTCCACAAAATTATTATGCAAAAATTTCTAACTCTTATGAACTATGTGCATAATTTCTATATATAAAAGAAAAATTTAAGTACACAACAATTTAAGATAGCTCTTTTATTTTTTTTTATCAAAGCACGATGTTGATGAGGTGGTAATATTTATATAATTTCTTTAAATTTCAGTGCAAGAACCTAATTTAATTTCAAACAGCTTTCAGGCTAAACCCACCACTACAATAGTAACCGCACCCGCTCCCGCCCCCGCGCACTTATATCACTTAGAAGGCGTAACATAAGACTTAGTACACGAATACTACTCGAGAAATACCTACGACACATCCTAGATCATATCAATATATAGCCTGCAGTGGCAGTGTCCGCCGGCGCCGCGGCCGCGCCGCTCGCCGAGTTTACTTATTTATTGTTGTAACTTTAGATTTTATATTCTACACTACCTCTCACTATTATCCAGGCAATTTTATAATGTAATATTACGAAGATTAAGTTTAAGTTTATGTCGCCCTGTGGACAGGTTCCTTTCCTATAAAAAAGGAATATATAAAAAATATGAATCAACTGTTTGAAATATAAAAATTATGGCTTTATAAATGAAGGTAGTTACATATATTTATATGATCTAGAACTTATTAGTAATAAATGATAAAGGGTCTTGATGAAAGGTGAGATGAGTAAATTTGATTGTACTCAAGTTAGAACGAAATAAAGATTATTAGAAATAAATAAATATTAGAAATAAGGTGAACTATATATATAACGTGATAGTTATTAAGGATTTTGAGTTGGTACGTAATGTAATAGAATAAATAAATGTAATAAGTGATTTAAACATAATAAATAAAGTGCAATCATTGTATAGCAATCTAAACACATTAAAACTATCAAATAATTAACGAATTCATCAATTTGTAAAAATATAAATTAAAAGCTATTAAAAAATATTTAAGCAAACTTCGTTATTTATTTAAAAATATTGTTTTAATACACAATATGTGTAACTAAATAATTATTGCACTTTAATTTAACATAGCAGATAGTTTAATAATAAATTATATAAATATAAAGCTAAAGCAGATCAAACAGGGAACCTATACAATGATGTTGCTTTCGTCATTGACAAATCCTATTCCACCCCTCTTATACATTACTTGTAATTTACCATCCGTCTATTCAACAATGTATAATGTCTCGTATGTGTCTTTCCAATTGTCGTCTTTCAACTTTCAAGCAGGCAAATTAAAGTAGAGCTTAAATAAATATATCATGGTTTGGGACTTCCATTCAGGGCTTACAAATTTGATAATATAATTATTTATTCACATAACTATTCTCATCGCGTACAAATTATTATGAAAAATAAGTAAAACTCTTAATTTATGACTATTCATCATAAGATTTTAACGTTCTCATATATTACTATCACCTCCATATAAATATTGATCCGTTAGAATGCTAAGCTATTGTAATAACGAGTATATTTAGACCATGGTAAATATTTACATACTTTGAAAACCTAAACAAAAACAATTTCCCAGGATAATGTCGTATTTCTGCCTAGTACAAATATATCGCTGTAGTTATAGATATTAATTTAAAATTACTACGTAAGTATTATATTTAATAATAGAATATTCCAGAAAATAATAACATGTCCGTTTTTTTTAAATCACTGAATGAATTAAAGGGCGTTACACAATAAAGTATACATATAATAATATAATAAAAAAAATATAAAAAAGAGAGTGGCTAATTATTTGATCATACTCCTTGTTAAATACATACAAATGTACCCATGGATTAAATACACTCTCAACTTGTGTCTTGTACCAATGCATTAAAATAAATAATTGTATTGTATAAAATATTTGCTCATCAACGTGACCGATTTTTCGGTCACAACTATTTGTACTCATATCTATATATATTGTATGTAAAAGGCTACGATTTGGTGTTTTCCTTACATATTTTACTTTAACGGAACGGGACGTCTATGGCACATGGATATTATCTATATTATATCGAGACATCATTGACGGTGAGCCTCGAGATGATTGATGTTTGTGCGCGTGTGTAACAGTCAACAGTGTTGCTGCGTAAACCTAATGTGAACATTTGCTTACAGTATAACTATTTAACTTGGTTGATATTGAATCCAGTAATTTACACAGAGGAGGATTTCGTGAATATCGTAGCAACGTGCTGCCAAAACAAACGGAGACTATATTAGTCTTTATCAAACTTTTAAATCACATTACGTGAAATAAGAAACAGTAAAACAACAAAGCTTGGCAGCAGACGCCCGAATAAACCTACGGTCGTATTACTAATATTTAACTTTCAGTTACAGTTTATAGCTAAATACATAATAATTTTCGTACAATGGTTTGTTATTTGTGCGTTAAACATTTACACTTTATTTATGTACATCAAAACATACGTATATTATTCAAAAACATAATGTACACGCTATCATCAAACGCTCAACGTAACACCAAATACACCCTTTAGACTAAACCTACTCGTACGTAGAAAGAAGAGCACGTGTCATGTGCACGCCTTGTCCCGGCTGGTATCTCGCTTCGCTGCCTCGCCCGGCCTACCGAACTGTCGTGTCACTCGAACGACCCGTGGATGTGAATCTACATGATTAATCAGTTAATTTCTACGATTTATTGCTAACTTTGTGTCCCTACGAAATCAATGTAGAAATGAAGTAGCTGGTCTCGACGATAAAATTTTATAATAGCCTATATAAAATTTAATATCCTATGACTAGTATCTACGCGTAGATACTTTGGTTTTAGTACAAAATTTACGTTAACGTGATGCTGCGTAGAATACCTATTGTTTCACACGAAAGGCCGACATAAAACGAGACGCGTATTATTTATTGTATTAACAACATTCGAACCGAACTCCTCTCTTTTGGTCTTTATTTAACTACTCTAAAATAGAATAGTGGCCAAGTGAAGATTAATTAGAGTGAGAGTAGAAATATCCAAAAAGAAGGAATGTACGGTCAATGTGTGAGTTTTAACGAGTGCTCGAAATTGTTTCAATTAATTATGTTCTAGTAATTCATTGTCTAACTCTAAATTTTGATAATTTATACATAGATACAAGTAGATATTGTGAAAAATACCCCTTTCTAAGGAGGCAAAGAGAGTACCTAGTAATTTAAAATCTATTCAACATACATATTACACAAATATTTACCGATAACAAAATTGATTGTGATATATTGATAAATACATAATTATATGTTAGTGGTTACAAATAAATAAAACTAACACAAATTTATTTACTGTGAGTACTAACAATACTACCATTTTTATTAGTATAAAATACTTTCATGATTATGACAAAACATAAATCGGCCAGATCAGATTTGTTAAAAATAATCAAAACTTTTGCCACGTTAGACCATATTGATACCGCGCACAAAACTTTATCTTAATAATATTAAGTATTTTATTACAATCAGTAAACATATTGTGGATTTGGACTAACATTTGCATTGGCTATACTTGAAAATTTTGCAAGGATTTATTCTCACATGTATTTTCAATAGACTTTTGATTGCCAAGTTACTTTAGTATATTTATATTTCTTAGTACATCTAATATTCTCTCTATATACGATTTCTGCTTGGCAAAACTCATACTTAAGTAACATTCCTTTGCTTTTTGTACCCTGATTATTTAAATGAGTCGGGCGATACATTATTAACAACAGCGGGTACCGAAACGGTTTTTTAGTCTTCAACTCAGCAAATACTCGTTCTTTTCATTCACACATTAGTGACATGCAGCTCAATCTTCGTCGTTGAAAAAATATTAATTTAATCTTACTATCTATGAAACTGTTTCAAAGCAATATCATCACAATGAATAATCTAATCACCAGCATTCTTAGAAAATGTGATATTTCGTTCATTGTCAAAATAATTCATTGCTTTATCGGATGAAATAATGCCAGACAACTCTTTAATCGGTAAGAGGATACAGGTTTAGCATTCACTTGGTGAAGGCACTAGGCATCACTTGCGAATTAGATACTCGATTGAAACAATACGACCCACCGCCTTGCAATAATCTTACTCAAACCGGATAAATTCTATTACTTTTTAGAATCAGAATTTCGTTCAAAATACTACGAAAATAATAGCTTTTGGTATGCATAGTGTACATAGAGGTTCAAGTGATATGGCTCTGACATTCGGAGATTTAGCATGCCAAGTAGGCGTGGAGTTGTTTCTTGAAAAAATTTTGTCCAATTAATTTCCGCTACATCCATCCACACACAGATTGGTAAAAAGATCACGTTATAAGTTTGAAGTCGAGAAAAACGAAATAAAATCCTAAGAAGCGTTAATAGACATTTAGCACCCTTGGTGGCTTTCATTTAAGTATGGGAGTGGAAACAACAAACCGTTTTTGATATATTTACACAATAAAAACGTAAAAAATAACTTATTTAATATTATTATCTTTCGAATACAACAACTACATCCCCGATCGAGGACAATATTCTCAACAAATGTTCATTCAATAAAGTCTCAATAATCATTAACTTTAATCAATTTCTCGATCACAAAATCTTCAACGACACCACTATAATTTTAATACTCTTTAAAATAAAAAAATCAATAACAAATACTGTTACCTATTTAATTATGACAACGACTATACCCGCGTTCAAGGTAGCACTGTCGCCTTCCAACGACACGATCGTGTATACAATAATATATATCAATTATTCAATTTATATAAAAACATCTTCAACCATGTTTACAGTGGTAATTGGTATATCAAATTAGTTCATAAGACGGATATATTATTACATATAATTGTCATTATATGCTTATGTCATATTTTCTTACAAAACAACAACTACCTTTAATTAATTAACCCTAATACAAATAGCCATATGATGTATACAATATAGACCAAGATTAGGCGTCCGTAGGCAGCTGAGCATCGAAACAAATCTGCTCATTACAATTCTTACATCTTCTTTACGTGACATTTTGGTACCTATTAGTCTATCAATGTTGCCCTTCCATGGCCTACAAAGTACAATACTCCATATTACACCGTTAAACAAATAATGACACAACAGGACAAAACGATTTTGACATTATTGGACTATACGGTATTTTATAAATATATTATATATAATAATTATTGTGTTTCTTTTTGTGTTTGCCGAATGAAATAACCGTTTTTTTTGCAGAAAATGTCTCGATGCTCCCACCTCTTTACCAATGTTCCACTAAAATTACCTCTACAAATGATCAAACTATTGTCACTATGGGGATGTTAAACTAGGGGAATTTCTGTTGAAATTCGTGCCAGTGATGGTAGTTTTGGTACGCCAAATTGTGGGATATTAAATGTATTATATTTTTTTGTCTTGACTGCTAAGTCTTGTTTCTTTTCTTTTACTGAAACAGAAGTCTGTTGTGCGATGCAAAAGTTACCTTCATCACCACGTCACTAACGTTTAACATGATTTAAAAACAAACATCTTTTTACTTTAACAACTTTCCCATGACACGACTTCCGAACAGTTTTAAAACTTGTTAACATTGCTAGAACTCTTGTAAACTATTTAGCAAAAATAAATAACATAATTCCAATATGGATCTTAAACCACGCGACATCAAACTGTAGTCTATTTAAAATATACAAACATTTTACGCAAATATATTTTTACTCGTTTACAATTCGTGTTGAAAATATTAATCATACTGGCCGGAACGTCGGCTTAATGTAACTTTGAAGAAAACGCATAAGTAACGTTTTTAGGTATTATTTTGGTGTTTCTTCGAAAGGTGTATCAAACAAACGGACACAGACATAAACTTACAGTCTACGGACGCCTCGCGCTCGCGGCGGCGGCTCGGCGGTCCGGCGCCGCGACTCGCAGGCGTCTTCGAACTCGTCATCGCGTGTAATTTATTATCATAAGTACAGCACTAATAGAAGTTTCGATCATAGTCCGGCGATCGCGGGACGTGAGAGTGCGACGCACGTTAACGTAAAACTATAACCTCGTATCGCGCACATTCACTAGAGGTAAAGGTGGTGTCCAGTGAGTCCGAATCAGGGTGGCGATAGTGACGATGAGGGAGGTGAGGAGGAGGGCGGGTCGAGGCGGTGCGGAAGCGGCGGCGGGCGCCGGGTACGGCACGGAGCACGTGGCGTTGCGGTCCTCCACGGGCGCGCACCGCTCCGCCTCGGGCCGCGGCGCCTCGCTCAGCCGCGCCTCGCACCGGTAGCACAGCCGGCCCTCGCAGTACCAGTAGCAGCACTCGTCGGCTCCATAGTTGGACTTGTTCGCCTGTGCACCAGTCTCTGGTATGCGAGGGTCTGGAATTACAATGTTTACGCTAAGAACTACAAGTTAAGCTAGCTTACAATAGAACAGTTCTCATTTAAAATATTATTAAAATATTTGCTTTGTTAATTTTTTTTTATATTTGATTAACATTTTTTTATATAGATTAATATGTTTTTAAATGATTAAAAAGTAATTGGAAAAAAGAAACGCTGAATGAAAAGCCTACAAGCAACAATTGGTCAAAGTGATGTGAAAAGAGAACAATAGCGGGTGCAGCTTACAGAAGGTGGCATTTGTTTCAATCTCTCGTTTTGAACTGAGGCCAAGCGGCGGCGGCTAATCGAGCCTAATACGCCACCCTCGCTGTCGACTACATATGTACACACACTTGCCAAGAATAACGCAGTAAATAATACGTATAAACTTAATATCATGCAAAATAATTTCCTCAGCGTAATAAAGACTAGAAAATATTGTTTTGCGTTGATTCAATAGTTTATATTCTATAATCATTTTTTAACGATACATAACATGTTTATTAGCTTTATGTATATAAACTTACCAAGGCATAGGAAGGTGGGCTCGCCGGCGTACTGAGTAGGGTATGCGGGAGCGCGGTCGGCCGGCAGGAAGTAGGGGCAGTGTTGCTCGACGAGCTGGCAGACCGAGAGGCAAGGCTTGAGGCGGACAATGGGCCGACCGGGGCCGGCGGCGGCGGCGCGCACCCAGCGGCCTACGACGCCGCCTCGCCGCCGGTCCAGGTGGCCCACACGCTCCAGGTGCCGCGCGTGCCACCGCGCCGTGTGCTCGGCGGGCGTTCGCCGCGACCGCCCGCCCTCGTCACCCTCGTCCGCACCTTCCTCCACCCAAAGAGGCACCATTGTACTACACGCCCACCGTCGATACGTCTCCTGTAATGGAATAACGTCACGTTTTAATAATTATTGTATGTATATTGTATACTAGATTTTGTCCGCGGGGTAGAATGACGTTCATGAAAAGTGTTTCTTTCAAAGTCCTTGGACAACACCATGTATTGTTAAGTACACGAATTAAGTTATCGTTAAAATATTATAGTTTTTTAACTATCTTCCCACAGAAATACATTACCAGATAAAACGTACCCTATATATTATTTCAGAACAAAGGCTATTTATGAGCCATTAAGTTATATCCAGATACCCTTAACGCTTTCCGCGTGATTGAGTAACAAATATCCAAACATCTTGAACTCACATTAGTAACATTCATATATTGTAGAGATAGGCTCAGACATATCTACTGCATCAGAAGGCAGGAATTTAATACTCGCACAGAGTGATTTTTTAATATTGTCGATTACATTATAAAGTCAAAAATTTATCGCCTATTTATTTATGTAATTTGTAATCACAAAATGGATACAAATATACTCCTTAATCTAATAACAATTGATTATTGAGTAAAGTAACAAGACAATGCTTTCAATAAATATAGGATTAGGTGCAGGATCAACATAGCTTTATATGTATGCTTTCCGAGACACAGCAGTATAACACCACCAAGTTTTGGAGCCCAGGAATTTCATTAACTGGAATTTTTTTGACAGAAAAGTCAATAAGTATGCTTGGCCAGGCCCAGGACTTGAATATAGGATCTCCGGATCTACGGCAGTTCATGCGTACAGTTAATAGGCGTTCCTTAATGAACATGCTAAATAAATCATAATAATTTCTTAATTGGACTAACATATCTAGAGATTAACGCGATCAAATAAATCAAATTCTACACTTACATTAATATAGATAAGTGATTTATAATATTCGTATTAAAATATTCATTTAGTATGAGATTAACGGGATAATCATAACCAACATCACGGAGCTATAGAGAGTAGATCCCACTGTAACAGCTGGTGTGCCTTCTCAACTATCGTTATTCAGCATTTTTCTATCCCGCAGGAAATCACGTCGCGTCGGCGGTGATTAATTAGATATCTGGCGACCGCGGCGTGCCAGCACACAATACGTTTATGATGTAATAAATGGACATCGGCTGTTCTACACGTGCAAACAAGAGCTAATATAGCAAATGTTACCATATGGATAAGAATAAAAGTGTTTGAATTTAAAAATAAATGTATAAATAAATGCACTTAATAGCATATATTTACATTTATTATAAAATGTTAGTAAATAATACTTTCTTAGATTTACGTGAATATTTGACATTTTAAATAAAACTATCTTTTCGGATTATTTCGCGGATGTATTTCAATTTTTGGTTTCCGACGTTTCGAATGCTTTACAGCAATCATGATCGGGAGAGACTGAGATGTTAGATGTCTCGAAAGTATAGTTGTTACAGACAGCCTACCCACAAAGTACTTTGTCAAAGTAATCCGCGAAATAATCCGAAAAGATAATTTTATTTAAAATGTTAGTAAAACCAATGAGAGTCCGAATCTGTTAAAAAGTTCACTAAAAGCCTGTTATAATTTTTCATCCAAGTTTTTTTAAATTTTGCATTCATAATATAGTATACCAATTAGCTCTTTTAAATTATAGTTCTTTAAATCAGTTGTAAATTGACAATTTGTTTAAACAAAACAGTTGTTAAATGATCACTTATTTTGAATTTAGTGTTTGATACTTTAATGAACATCTTTAGTTCCTATGTGTTAATTGAATTAATTAATGAAATTCAATAAGTTAAAAATAAATTCTTATAGAAAATCTTCATATCATAGAGAAGAAATAGTATTATATAGGTAATCTATACATATAATAAAAATGTATCAAAGCAAAATCTATATATGATATATAAAAAAAATTATGACTGTTACATATTGTGTATAATGTTGTCTGTGTGACTATTTATCTGGTTGCTTTTTACGCGAAAAGGATTTTACGGATTTTATCTATCCTAAATGTTGACCCGAGTAATAACTTAATTACTCGGGTCAACATTTAGAATACCTAAAAGCTATCGTACAGGAAAACTTCGCATTCAACATCCATACTAATATTATAAATGCGAAAATAACTCTGTCTGTATGTCTGCCAGTCTGTTACCTTTTTTCGCTTAATCTGCTGAACCGGTTTGGATGAAATTTGGTATGGAGATAGTTTGAGAACCTGGGAAGGATATAGGATAAGTTTAATCCCGTTAATTATCCTTTAGGATCTCTTATTTTCATGGGAAAATGCAAAATTTAGTTCGTACACAAATCGATCATCTATATCTATAAATAGTATAAAACAAAGTCGCCGTTTACCTCTGTCTACTTCTCCGCTTACTTTACAAAACCACAATGTATTAGAAAATTGTAGGTCTTAAATAGGCCCACAAAAAAGAAATCGTACTTCGGAAAATGAGGGTGAGAAGCTAGTAATAAATAATTCTTTCCAGGCTAAAACACTTGTTAAATATTTGTTTAACAAAGCATATAATCTATACAAATAAATAAATTGTAACTAAGTCGAACCTGTACATTAATTATTTTTTGGAAAATCTAATTGAAATAGACATTATTATCGATACAGAATCCGAATCTATAGTTTTTAGAATTTTTGTCTGTCTGTATGTCTGTTACCGCATCACGAGAAAACCACTGGACAGATTTTGATGAAATTTTGTATGATGGTAGCTGGTTATCCGGGTCAACATAAAGAATACTTTTTACCGCGGGAAAATATCTCATTTCTGTGAAAAAATACAAAAACTGCATTGTAAGAGTATACTAATATGTAAAACCTAAGAATTTGTTTTTTGGTCATCTGAACGCGGGCGGAGCCGCGGGCAACGCTAGTAGAGAAATAAGTATCTATTTATCGCATACTCGTTTGCGCAATACAAGAAACAAACAAATGGCTAATTTATAACATAAACTCTATTTCTAATAAAGTTCTTACATCATCAGAATAAAGCCATAGTCTATATGAAGAGTGCACACGAGATATTTCAATTAGCACCTTCTATTACCGTAATAGCCTATACAATGTCCTTTTTATGACCATTCCTTTATATTATGGCCCATTGACACGTGCTTCTAGTAATTATTACAACAAACACTTATCGTTTATGAACGAATATAACTCTATTAATATTATAAATATATTAAAAAATCTTATTAAACATATCGAATAATATTTTTACAGATACTAATAAATATGTTATTAATTTCATCTAGGTATACTAAAGAAAGCAAAGACCTAGACTTAAGAATTAAATGAAACTTCTTTGTTCTCATTACAACTGATATAAACGTCACATCTTACTATTTGGAAATCTATTATTTTCCGGAAATAAATTATAAATTGCTAAGAATCTAAACCGTGACCTGACAATAATCTTGTTACATCAAAATCCAGTTTTTCAAAAGGAATTGTATCAGAAATATCATAATTTAAAATTTAATAGTAGGTAAAGCTTATATGGTAGGACAATTATATTGTACCGGTAAATTTCAAAACTTATATCGATAGTTGTATCGATATTAGTAAAAAAACAAAGTAAGCTCTACTTTGTTTTTTTTACTTCTTTAAGATTTTATTATACTAAATCTATATTAAATCAAATCAATAACTATAAATACCATTGTTTGGTCGAACTGAAATTTTACGAACCAACTTTTTACTGGGTCGAATTTTGAAACAATTAAGATTTTTAGTATAAACAAGATTTATTGTTAAGGTTTTAAATGTAGCGATTTCTTAATATAAACATTACAAATTCTATGTAGGTCACACAAGAAAAGTTATGTTAAAAATTGTAAATTTTATATAAAATACAAAACGTTGCTTGCCCGAAGCATTTAATTTCTCTCACAGTAAGGTCAAGCCGCTTGAGATTGAGACTATTGTTCTTTAAAGTAGTGAAATAAAAGAGAAGTTATTTTAGATTACTTTTGTGAACCCTTTTATTGCTGCTATTATAAAACACTACGTTTTAAGGACTTTGTATTCATCCTTATGCTTTGAAACGCAATCTTTCACCACATTTAGGGTGTATTCTTACGCTACCATTCAGGTGACTCTATATATGAGAAAGACTATATTAAAAAAATGTGTCCTTTTTTTGAATGCGTCGCATAGTTAAAATTTTATAAATAATGAAAATTCATATAAATAATGAAATATATTAACTATAATTTATAATAGTAATTAACTTTAGGAATTGATTTTAACGGTTATGGTATTTTTTAGTTAATATATTTATTAATTTAATATATCTTTTTGAGTGAATATTTAAGGATAATGACACTATCTGCAAAATTTATAACGTAAATACTGCTACATATCTAATTTAGTAGACCTTTCACTAGTCGATAGTAATAAATTTTGGCAATTGACGACACGTTTGGCTCAGTTTGTAGTGACCCTACTTGCTGCGCCAGAGGTCCCGGCTTCGAGTCCCGCTGGACTCTTTGCCCCAACATTTATATTTATTTAACGTATTTAATTTATCATACTAAAAATTTTGCAACGCCACAAACTCACAAACTCAAAACACACCAATCAAAAAACCGACAAAAACAAAATTTACCTCTTTATAATATTAGTATAGATTTAAATTGCAAATTCATTTTTATATAGAATAAATATAATTTTTCACTTAATTAAATAAATTTAAAACAAAAAGAGGATAAGTACCTATAGTTTTTTTACGCTTTTTACGCATATTGTGCTACGTTTATTACTCCATGTTTTAAAAATTCCTTGTGGAGGTAAACTCATTACGAAATGTATTCCAAATCATATTTTTTTTAATTCACCGATCTTTCTGAACTCGTACTTTACTAGCAAAGTAAAGTGTTACTCATTATGCAAAGTTACCTAAATTTAGAAAACGTCAATTTAGTCGCAAGGAAAACGTCGCACAGGGTTATCGTCCCGTTGAC